AAAAATATCCTAGTCAGACTAACTTCTATGTAAGATGTAGGTTCAATATATTGGTTTTGTCACTTGCTTTTTTGGCTTGCACCTATGCCTGAGTTCTGGTTTATGCATGGGACGCATAAAAATGATATTTCTGTGCATGTGCACATATACAGTGCTTGGTCCAATCTATTGTTTAAAACTTCTTGTGAAGAGGTGCCCACCGCTTTGCTTGGGAAGCTATTCAACAGTATAAAAATCTATTAGGCTACCACTTGGAGTAACTAGACATGATTGATGAAAAGAAGAGTAAATTCAATCAATTTGTGCAACCCATACAAGTACTATTGTATGTCTTGCATGGAGGGAAGAGTGTAAGTTTGGAAGAGGGGAAATATAAAGAAAGAGGTACAACTCACACAGAAGAGCAAAGAACAGTTCATGAATAAAAAACACATCCAGTGCCAAATTGCCAGGCACAGAGATGAATAACCTTTCACATCCCAGTAATGTAATAGTTAACTGGTTACTCAGTCAGCCTCATCCTAAACAAGTAATGGTTACTGGTTCTGGTTAACAGATAACGCATGGGGGCTGGAGCAGCTCCCCGCTTGTCATGGACAGGAGACTCCTCTGTGCTGCAGGTCAGGGGTTGCTCTGGGGCCCTGAGCAGAGGGGTCTGGAGGCTGCTCCAGCCAGACTGGAGTGGTCCCCAGATTGGATCCTCCTTGGGTTCCTCTAAGGTTCAATCAATTAATGTTCAATGGGTTAACTGATGAATCAGGATTTTTACCTCCCTATTAGAAATAAAGATGGATAAGACTGGCATGTAACTTCCCAGGTTTTACTTTTCTCAGATTTTGTGGGAGAGAATTGCAGCTTCTGCTTCCATGCCAATTAAAAAAAAAGGCTACAGAAGATGAAACTTCTCTTGCATGCAGATATTGACATCCTTCGTGTGAGATCTGGACACATGGCCAAATAGGCCTTGACTAGTGTTTTCAGCGTACTGTGTACAGGTTTGCTTTCTAGTAACATGAGGCATATTCAAGGTGTTTTGGTTTGTATTGGCCATACAGGTGTTGTGATAGCATTTGTTAACCATTTACTCACAGCAGCAAATGGCCTTCCTTAGGCCAGGTTTACACTAAGGAAGAATGTTGACCAAGTACAGACTTACAAATGAGTTACGTTCCAAGCACTTGGTCGTAACTCGATGTAATCCGACTTATGAACACATTCACTGACATATGGCCGTGCTGTTGGTAAATGTGGATTTCATTCGTAACTTGGGTTCCAGCTGTATAGGAGGTTGGTCATAAATATGAACAGTCGTAAATGTATGCGTTTGTAACTTGGGGACAATCTGTATATGCAACTCCAGCTACATGAATAACATAGCTGGAGTTGATGTACCCTAGGTTGTTTCCATGGCGTCTCCACTGCAGGAAGCGGGCAGGAGAAACTCTCCTGTCTACTTCGATTACTTGCTGCAAGTTGGTGAATTACCAGAGTCGACAGGGGGTGCCATCAGCGGCTGATTTAGTGGGCCCTTACTAGACCCGGGAGATTGATCTCCAAGAGAGTCGAGACAAGCCCTTAGTAGTAATTCTCCAAAGCCTCACATTTTAAGCAGTCCTGAATTTCGAAGAATACACTAGCTGTAGCATTTGGCTATTTATACACATTTTTGGCATGCTCAAAATAGTATGTTTCTCTACTTGGATCAGAGCAGACAAGACTTTGGTTTGGGAGTGGCCTTACACCTAAATACAAGACTTGACTTAAAATGAGAACCTTCAAAATCCTTAAGTAATAGGACTCAAGCCACGTCATATGGGCAAGTGTGGTCTTGCTTTAGTACTTTGATTTAAATGACAGAGTAGATGTATAGGCTCAGATTGTTGGGCCTATAGCAAATATTCAGGTAATTCTGAGATGTGAGTTAGCTGAGCTAGAATAATATAATTGGTGTAGACTAGTAATTACTTAAATTAGCCAAGTGAAGGCTAAACTTATACCAACCAGTATACATAACTCAGAGTAAAATATGCGTATGAAGGTGGAAACCTTCATAGTCAAGGACAAATTTATTTCCTTGTATCTCCATTTGAGTTCTTCTATTTGCCTTCTTTTAAATATTTAACCTGAAATGTCAGCCTGAATCTCAATTTTTTCCAAGGGTAGATGTCTTGCAGTATCCTGATGAGTCTTTTTGCAGGATGACAAGATTTCTCTCCTCCTTCCTCTCCCCCCCCCTCATCTCTCTGCAGTTGTTTTCTTTATTCATATGGATTTTATATAGTCTACCTCAGAGCTGCAGAGGAGGCAGGGCAGAGTTCCAGGAGGAGCAGTGATGTGGTGACTCAGCAGAAGCACTGAGTCTTTGCAGTTACACTGCAGTGCTGTTCACTCTCCATCCTCCTGGCAACTAGTCTAGTCTCTTACAATAACTATCTCCAAGTTCCTCTCTTAGTCTGACTTTGATATCAGAGCAATGAAAGGGAGAGGAAGATTTCCATTGAAACTGAAAATATAAAATTGCCCTGCAAAGGTAACTTCAGTAAATAACAATCTTAGTAGTAGAGTTAACCCTTTGTACAATATTTGAGTACCGGGTCTGTCTTTGAAAGTAGTCTTAAACTGTTTAAATAATTTTGGATGTGTAAGTACATGTTCTGGCAATACACGCTAACTAAAATATATTTTAAACTCAGTAGCTTTAGCTCTTCCAATGACACTTTTTAAAATATAAGCATATGACTGTGAAATAATAAATTAATTTGCCTATTTTGGTTTAAAGGCAATAGGAAACCTATTGAATGATTCAAATGAACACCCAGGTGCCTGGCTAACCATCAAAATACTGTACTTTTTTTTTTTTTTAAATTCAATTCTTAAACTTGATAATTTGCCAATTTCTTATAAGAACTGAAATGGTTCCCTCTTGTGGCAAAAGGAAATCAGCAGAGGTACTTCATATTTCTTGGAGCAGATATGTTCCTTAGCCATAAAAATCTGATCCAGATTTGAATCAGACATTTCACCCCACTCCAAGATTCAAGGGCTCTCCCTGTAAACTCTGGGGCATCTGTCGGCCTGTTGGCTGCCCGTCGCGAAGGGATCCCAATCCTAGCGGTAAAGACACGGATGTTAAACTCTTCGGGGCGCCCGTCAGTCTCACCTAGACTGCCCACTGCGATGGGGCCTTGTGTCTCAGCAGTTGAAGACCAGGTGTAACACACACACATGCACTGCCCTGACCATCGGCTGACAGGTCTATGTTGGATATTAGGGAAAACTACTTCACTAGGAGGGTGGTGAGTACTGGAATGGGTTACCTAGGGAGGTGGTGGAATCTCCATCCCTAGGCTTTTAAGTCTCAGCTTGACAAAGCCCTGGCTGGATTGATTTAGTTGGGATTGGTCCTGCTTTGGGCAGGGGGCTGGACTTGATGATCTCCTCAGGTCTCTTCCAGCTCTATGATTCTATTTGGAGAATAGGCCTCTCACCCAGTTTGTACCTGAACTTCATCTAGACCTCATTTAGCTAGTCTGTCTATGCCATGTGGAACTGTCCCAATATATTGTTGTGGCTTTTTTAAGAGACTTTATCTACTGCTTCCCCCATTTAAGAGGCATAAAAACCTGCCCCCCAAAAAACAGTTGCAACTGACATGGTATAATTTGTTCTTGAGAAATCCTTGTTGGCTATTCTTCAATGAGGCTGGATTAACTCATCTGGAGCCCCAGAGCTATTAGACTTTTGTGGGGCCTTCCAGGCTTTGTGACTGGATAAAACAAATCAGGCATTGAGTGTGTAGGAAAGGGCTACAGGTTGAGGCAGGAGAGTGGGTGCAGGAAGGAGGGCTCAGGGCTATGGTGTGCGGCTGGGGCCAAGGAGTTTGGGGTACATGAGTGGACTCAGTGCAGTGTGCTTACCTGGGGCAGTTCCCATGGGGGAGCAAGGGGAAGATGGCCCCCTGCAGACCCCAATGGATGCAATCCCTGGCCAATGGGAGAAGTAGGGGTAGAGCCATCCAGACAAGGGTAGTTTGCCATGATGCAGCTCCAGCCTGGGATGGCGGGGAGGGAAGAACAGCAGCGCACTGAGCCGCTCCCATGCCAGGAAGGGTGGGCTTGGAACGCCACCCCCTCCCTTAACCCTGTTATCCGCCACGTGCCCACCAGTAGCGCGTTTCAATCGCTTTCAGGTCCTGCCGCGAGACTGACTGGTCCCTGGGCCCCTCTGTTCAGGCCGATACTCCGCGTGCACCTGGCGCCGCTGCCCCCTCCCCCCTCTGCCACGAGTTCTCCACGCGCACCTCGGCGCTGGGGGGGTTAGTGTTCTCCGCGCCTCTCGCGCGCACCCCCCCGTGTGTGACCGAGGCCGGGCCGCGCGCCCATCTCCAGCGCGTCGGGCACGCGCTCTGGCTGCAGGCGGCTCATGTGACGCGGCCGCTCCGCGCTGACCACTGGCGGCGGCCCGGAGCAACCCGACTGCTCATGCGCTGAGCCGCACGGGGCACCCCGGGGGGCTGGGGCGGCAGGGGGGG